AACATAGACCACTTTCAGCCATCTAATGTGTATATATCCTTCAAATTTAACACTTAAAGTATAACATGCATATACAGAAAAGTATATAAATTATAACCATACAGCTTTACAAATTATCACAATCATCATCCATACAGGCTGAGAAGTAGAGAGGACCTCTTTCTCCCTCCCTTCTTCTTAGAATAATTGTCATCCTGGCTGCTACCAGCAGAGAGTTCTGCCTATTGTTTGACTTTCCATGAATAAAATAATAGAATATATACTTTTGGAAAATTGGCTCCTTTTGCTTAGTATTATATTTGTAAATATAGTTCTAGCTGTGGTGCAACTGGAGGTCTCATCTTCTTGAGAAGGCAAGTAAAGAATACTAAGTCTAATGACTGTGCATGAGTTAATTCACCCCACATTATTATTATTATTTTTTAGCTAGGCAGACTCAGGCAGGACGAAGGTGGGAGCTGTCCAAAGGCAATGCAGAGAATGACAGAAAGTATGAGAGAAAAACTACCGAAGAAAGGCAGTTTGCTTCAAAGACAAATTTTACTTAGATAATATTATTTCTAGAACCATACTTGATGTTAAATATCTTTAGGAATTTGTTCAAATCAAGCTAACATCCATTACCCTGGCCAATTAATGATAAAATACAGTAAGAATATGTCTTCCTTTTTCCTTTTCTAGATTGGTACCCTACATTAATGTGTTCTGAGCTTTTTAGCAGAAAGTTGACAAAAATCTTCCTAGATAGATGATTTCATTTAAATATACAATGCACACAGTATTTCATCTTCTACAACCTAGAGAGATATGATGACTATCTCTGTAAGAACCTACTTCATTAACCCCAAGAATACAATGCAACCCATTACAAAATGTTTCCAATGCAGTAAGACTACCCAGAAACCCCTGGGTGTTCAGCTTTGCATGAATATGTAAAAAAGTAGCTTTCAGACTCCACAGGATGGGAGCACTCAGTGAGCAGTGACAGATGTGAGGAATAATCAAGCTTTCAGTGAGTGGCACAAGAATGTACAATTCACCTCCATTTAAATGATATGCCCTTCAAAAGAAATGCCCATGTGGACAGAGACTTCTTTACAGAGGCAAGGACTGAGACATCAAGGTTTCAAAGGGGGGAGAAAAAAAAAAAAACAACAGACATTTGGGACCAAACTCATACATTCCCTGAGATGGGTTAGGATTCCTGATCTAGCAAAAAATAGGGGAATTATAGGGAGAATTAGAAAGTAAGAGAGAGAGGGATCTCAGCTAAAGCCAATTTAAAAAAAAAATTAGGAAATGTTTGCAAATAGAAGAAGAATGGGTATGGCACTGGGAGTGGGGTTGGCAACTGGGAAGAGGAGACAGGGCTCAAGAAACCTAATTCTGGAACCATAAGATTGTAGTCAAATGCGGTTTTTCATCAGACCTCATAATTTTTACCTTTAAACTGGGAAAAAAATCTATAACATTTATATTATTTTTAAATGATGTTTGTATCTCTTCCCACCAGTCTTTTCTGCCTGTTTCTATATTCATGTCTATAAGTTAGTATTAGGACTTACACCCCTATTGATTTTGTTGATTGTTCTAATATAAGAGCCAGATTGTTCTCCAATGAATAAGCAGCACAGTTCACCTTAATTTATTTTGGACCTGAGATCATAGCCTCAGAGAGATCTCATTATTCCTCAGTTCACTTTAGTTTGTCCTCCTCCTTTCACTGTAAGGTAAAGAGGACATATTGGATGTTAGGATGGTAGGTGGGCACTTGCCAACTCCACAGGCCCATGGTTCCAGCAGCACATTTGGTTATGGAAAATACAATCTCCAAAGAATCCAACTCTAGCCAGTAAGGATTATTTATAGCTTCTGACACAGAATGTTTCAAGTACAGAGTGAGCATCATTATTAATATCAACTCAAATGAACTCTAGAGGAAGAGGACTACAAAGCCCTCATAGGAAGCTTGGGAGATGTGGTGTTAGAGAACATGGCAATGGGAAGGGAGGATGAACAACAACAATAAAAAAGTGGGAATGAGCTGCCAACGTATACATGGACCTTAGGGCTTGGCTTTCTTTTCCCAGGTCACTGATAATCCTCTTTTCTGAGTGCAGGGTCTTTCCCCTCCAATTTTTCCTGCAAAAGGAATGCTGGTCCATATTCTCCTCACTCTAAGTCCCCACTTCTTCAGACTTTATCTCCCCTATCTAGCTGCATCTCTCATAGTTCCCCTCCCCCAAACCCTTTATTATAGTTACACTGGTTTCCTCACAGGAGCATGGGTGGCGCAAGTGGTTGGTAATGAAGCGACTACTAATTGGTGTTTCGAACTCACCCAGCTGCTCTGTGTTAGAAAGGTTTGGTGAACTGCTTCCATAAAGATTATAGGCAAGAAAACCCTATTCTGTAACACATGGGATCGTCATGAGTTGGAAACAACTTCAGCAATGCATTTGGTTTTGGGTTTTGGTGTCCTTACATCTCACAAATCTACTTTGTTCAGTTTTTGCTTATGCCATGTACCCACCCTGGAACATCCTCTCATGGAACTCTCTCACTAAATTCTCTCTCCTCTAAAGTTCTAATAGCAATTAGGGCCTATTTCACATAATGTAGTTAATCATTCACATTATATTATCTCTTAGTTGGTTATGTGTTTCTCCAGACTTGATTTGAGTTAGGGTCCTAGTCTACCCAGCATAGTAGGTAGGGCTACTTTTTTCTAATTTATCCACCCAGAAGGGGTTCTTTCTGGTAATTTGCGCAAAGGCAAGATATAAGCCAACTTCAGTCTGCTCCAGCCCTACTCGTTGCTGTCATGTCAAGTCAATTCTGGCTCATAGTGACAGAGCAGAATGGCCCCATAGGGCTTCCAAGGCTATTATCTTTACGGAAGCAGACTGCCACATCTTTCTTCTGCAGAGCAGCTGGTGGGTTCTAACTGCTGACCTTTCAGTTAGCAGCCAAGTACTTTAACCACTGTGCCAACAGGGATCCTATCTCCTGTTCTAGGGCCTTGTAGTAAATTTCAGACATGCATAGACCAACCCAATTGTCCCAGCTGTCATGGATAGACATGGCAGAAATCCCTAAGCAGAAAAATAATCTCCCTAGACATCCTGAGTGATACCATTCATTAAATGCTTTCTTTCAGAACATAATCCTTTTTATATTCAGGAAGTTAACATAGCCCTCCAGATGAAGCAGAACAAGAGATTCTCCAAAACAAACAAGGAAAAACCACAATGATAAAAATCAAATTTTGAGACAGATTGTTCAGCAACAATTGTCAAAAAGCCCTAAAATTATAATGACAGATAGAGCTGGGACATGGGGGAAAGAAAGGCCAGGTGAGCTGGCTAACAGAATTGCAGGTAACACCGCGGGGGAAGTTTAGCTCAAGGCAATGATTGCTTCTCATCTAAACCCCATCAACTGTAGCCTTGATTTAGAAGATAAAGACATGAAATAAATAAATTATATGCCATTCTTTGCCTAGGGGGAGTTTCTGCAAGGTCTTTGCCTTTGGTCCTTTAATAAGCCATGTATGTGTGACCTGAAGAATCAGACTGCAGTCGTAGCCCACACTTATTATAAGCATTGTGACCTGCTCAAGTCACTTGATCTAGTTTTCTCATTTGTAAAATAGAGATAATATAATACTACATCCCTCCTTCATTTATGCATCCAGTCACCAAACTGTGCCTAAGGCATTTGACTGCTAACCAGAAGGCTGATGGTTCAAACCCACCAGCCACTCCTTGGAAGGAAGACTGGGCAGTGATACCACCTCAGAAACCCAAGGAGGGGTGGCTATGAGTTGGATCTGACTTGATGGCAGTGATTTCAGTTTGTTTTATTTAATGGGCCAAGTGGAGCTCTAGTGGTGTAGTGGGTAAGATATCAGGCTGCTAACCAGAAGGTCAGTGGTCTAAAACCACCAGCTGCTCCATGAGAGGAAGATCAGACAATCTTCTTCCTTAAAGATTTACAGCCTCAGAAACCCAATGGGGTCTCTATGAGTCAGAGTTGACTCAATGGTAGTGGGGTTTTGGATTTGGTATGAGCCAAGTGAAGGAGGCCTGGTGGTGCAGTGGTTAACCACTAAAGTGTTAACCAGGAGGGTGGCTATTTGAACCCACTAGCTGCTCTGCAGGAGAAAAGTGGCAACTGCTTCCATAGAGATTTACAACCTAGGAAACCCTATGGAGAAGTTCTACTCTGTCCTCTGTTCTGTCACTATAAGTTGGAATCAACATGATGCCAATTTGTGTGTGTGTGTGTGTATATGTATGTGTAGCCAAGCACATGGTGAGCTACATAGACACGATCTGTGCCATAATGAAGCTTCCAGATCATCTTACAGAGTTACAGAGTAGGAAAGTGTCCTTTAATTGTAAAGCACCATAACAAACAGGTCATTATTTTCAGTGACTTCCACTCAATCTAGCTGTGTGACTTAGACAGTGTTTCTGGGCTTTTCTCTTCTCATCCATAAATTTCTATCTTAAAATTCAATTATTCCACATGTAAATAAAGAAAGTAAGATTTTTAGGTATTTCTGAATCATGACATTCTAAAAGTTTTTTATGAAATAGTTCAGACATGGAAAATGTTAAGAATGTTGGTATACCAACTCAAGACAGAAACCATTACACACAGGGAGCTCTATCTGGTAGCATATCTTCCTTGTCCCCCAGAGGAAGCAGCTGTGATGAGTTTAGCATTCATTATTCTGAATCATGGCATTTCTAGGAAACCTGGTGTATGAGTAAGAACAGCTCATCACAGAATTCTTCTTATACTTGGGTGTTCCTGGTTCCTAATGAATATGAGGTTGTGACAGTGCACATCACAGAAAGTTCAGTCACCAGCCTGTCTTCTCCCTCGCCACCCATCCTTGCTGCCCACCCAGCATACAAACTTAGAAAGATCATGCGGCAGGCATTGCCTGCTGCATTCAGAAGAAGGATTTTTTTTAAAAAATTATATACCTTCAGAGCTTTCTGCGCAGATTCGCTGGACCCAATTGCAATCAGGTTAGGCCCAGCCATGCTGCAGAAACTCTTCAGATGCAAAGTATTGGTCACTGGCACCATGGAGACTGCATAGTCCTATGCATATAGAGAAAGAAGCAGTTAGACTTTAAAGAATAATTCTAAAATGGATTAAAAACCTGCCTGAGCCACACCTGCTCCACTGGAGGCTTCTAGGGGATCTCTGTATCTGGAAGGAAAACTGGGACTCTCAGATTTTGGTATCACTCATTAAATGAAGAGTGTGTGTAAGAAGAAAGTGCAAAGCTTCCTTCCAGATGTGTGACTGTGTTGACAACTTTTCATTTGCTGCTTCATCTGTGGAATAGGCCACTCTAGGAGGGGGTGCCTAACTGCCGTTCAGCTGGAGCCCCATATATCAACTGTGGGATACAAAGCTGCTTGTGGGCTATATCCCTTTCTAAGCAGTTTGGCAAACCAACCTATTTAAGGTCATTAGAGTAAAGGGTCCATGACAGGATGCATATATAGCATCTAGCAAAATGTTTGGCACACAGCAGGTACTCAAGTACAGGCAGTCTCCATCTGATTCCAACCCAAATAATCCACATCTCCATGTCTGAGCCAACTGGGGCTCCAGATTTTTTTTTTTTTTAGAAGTCCTTGATCTTCTGAGAAGTTAGTTGTATGATCATAAACTGGGAGAAAACAGAAGATGCTCATAATAACTTTAACTGTTGCTGCAGTGGTAGCTCAACAAAACCTATTTATTGAGCAATTTGAATTTGATAGCTCCTAGAATCAGGAATTATTTTGCAAAGCTGGTGACATATAAACAATTCATGACACGGTGATTCAATGGGTCTATGAATATTTATTAAGTAATTAGTCCATGCCAGGCATAAATTATCCTTTACCTACCTTAAAAGTATCAGCCAAGATTTCAGCACCTCGTTGATTTGTCCTTTTGGAAAGACCCACAAAAAATTCTCTGCCTGGAATAAATGTCATGGAACATAGTGAGTGGGTGGAACCAGCAGGCTGTGCACTATTTCTTTTATCTATAAATAATGACCTTAAGCATCACACAGTTTTCTCTTTCCACAGAGGGCAGCTCCACTGATACTCTGATCCCTGATCTCTTTACAAAAAACTTATTTAAAACTATTGCCCTTAGAAATAAACTTTTCCCTTAGAAAAGAACAGAATTTAACATCTCAGTAATTTATAATCAGAAATGGAGTAATAGCAGCGACAAGTGAGCAGTACTTCCCTTTTCTTTTTGCCTAAAAGAACAATAGTAGGCATTGCTGATGACGTATATACGGTCCCTTTTCTTAGAATGATCATGTCAGGTCTGCAGACAACATTTGGGTAAAATGAGTCTACTACTTGCTGGCCTCCATGTCTGATCCTTACAAGCTCTATCTTTAAAACTACACATCCCACAGTCAGCTACCCAGAGGGACTGAGTAGTTGATCCTGCGGGCTTGGGACCATAGTCGCAGGGGACATCAAGCTCAATTGGCATAACATACTATACAAAACATTGTTCCACCTACTACTTTGGCGAGTAGCGACTGGGATCTTAAAAGCTAGCAAGCTGCCATCTAGATGCAACAATTGGTGTCTCCTCGTCAAGAAGAAAGAAGAAAACCAAATGAATGGAAACAATCAGTCCTAGCGACTGTTACACCATCTGATCTGCAACCTATACAACTATGAGACCAGAAGAACTAGATGGTGCCCGGCTACCACTGTCATCCACTTGGAAGGGATGTACGAGAGCCTGCATAGAGAGGGAGAACAATGTGGAACAAAACTCAAAATCATTTGGAGGCAAAAAAAAAAAAAAAAAAGGGGGGACCAGGTTTGCTGGTCCAATAGAGCCTGGTGAAACCACTGAGACTATGGCCCCTAGCTGCCCTTCAGGTCTGGGATTGAACCCACACCTGTGGTTTCCAGCCAAACAAAGAACAGGCAAGTGAGTTAAACATTTACCTCAAGTAGACACACACCCTGGAGAGAACAATCATGGGAGAAGGAAGGGCTGCTTATGCACAGGGAGACAGCTCAGGGCGCAGAAGAGTATGGAGGGATGGACACTGGGAAGAGGTAACTATCGGGAGGAAGTGGGAGGGGAGCTCTTGCATTGTAAATTTTGGTCAATGACATGAGACAAAGTATATGTGAACTGCTGTATGAAAAGTGAATTTACTCTGTAAATCTTCACCCAAATCAAAATAAAATTAAAAACAAACAAACAAACAAACAAAAAAAACTACACATCCATTTTTTCAAATTACAAATGTTATAACTTTAAACTTTATAATGTCCTTATAAAAGGGTTAGGTGACATAGGTCAAGTAATGTTATGAAAAATTCCAAGGGGCTGACAAAGGAATCTTTTGTAGCACAGTGGCAATTTTTATTTTTATTTTTATTGGTAACAGTATGACTGTGTTGTCTTTTAAGAAAATTCATTACATAAAAATTGACATTTAAGTTTAGGGACAGGTCTTTTTCTTGACAAAATATTCATTTTATAAAAATATCAGCTGCAATAAAAAAAAAAAAAACCTCCTTAATTTTTTAAAGATAAAAAGAGATTTATAAATTAGATATATACACAACTTTCAAGATAAACATTTAATGTATTAAGCAAGTTACAACAGATTTATAATGGGGCATAAAGATTATTTCCATTTTAAAAGTCCTGAGTGTGATTCCAACTCATAGTGACCCCCTTTGGGTTTCTGAGGTAGTAAATCTTTACAGAAGTAGATTGCCCAGTCTTCCTCCTACGGAATGGCTAGTGGGTTGGAACTGCCAACCTTTTGGTTAGTAGTCACATGCCTTATGCACTATGCCACCAAAGCTCCTTGAGTGTGATAGAAAGTATAAAGAAAAGTATACTCATTATCTGAAGTAAGTTGGACTTCTATTTCTAGCAATATGGTGAGCTAAATCCCCTAAATGACTTTTCCAGTGAAAACAACAAAAATGCTAAAATTGAGATATTAAAAAATTTTTCTGTGCTTTTTATGGTCGTATGACACTTTTTCCCCTACACTAATCCACCCTCTTTTTTCCTCTTCCTCGGCTTACTTAATTATCCCTACATAATTACAGAAGAAACCAGGTCATTTGTCCTACTGAATATCCCATGTTCTGGATTTGGTGGACTGCTTCCTTGTGACATTTAACATTTAAAATGTTCCTTTATCCTTTATTTCCAATAAACTGGCAGTTTCATTTAGATGCTTAATTAGATTCTTATTTTTTTATTTTTAATTTTTTATAAGCCCACTCCAGAAGTGAAGCTGCATTATAACTTGATGCCCATGACTGGCTGTCACATTTCCAATGATACTAGATTGATCAATGGGTTCAGGTGGTATCATGAAGCTCCCCACTAAGCTTTCATACAATGGTTTTTAACATCTTTTGATGATCTTTATATAAATCCATTATTTTTTTAATGGATTAGGAATCTGAATTTACTGACTAGGATGATTTTACAAAGGAAAAACTTTCCTCAATCACTTATTTTGTTTACCTCAAATAGAATTCATAAAGAAAAGATAGGCTAAGTGCTTGAGTCTTTCCTTCACTCATCAGTTTTCACAGTAATAAGACAGTGTCTTAGCAACTTACCGTAATGACCAATAAATTATTTCTTTAACATTATTACCCACTTATGGGTCAAACTTGAAATATAATGTCAATCAGAAAACATTTAGAGCTAAAGGACAACAAAAATGTTCATATCAAAAGAAGACTCAGCTAAAGCAGTACTTGGGTAGAAAGTTATAGCTGTAAACAACACATTAAAGAATATTACAGGTTCAAGATTAATGAGATAAAATTCCAACTTGAGATATAAGAATAAATGAACAAAATAAAAACAGAAAATTTGAAGGAAGAAAATAAATAAAGAAAAAGGAAACATATAAGAGAGAGGGTTCTATAAAGTTAAAAGTTAGTTCTTTGAAAAGATGAGTAAAAACGACAAAGCTCTGGCAAGGGGAAAAAAAAGAAGGCACAAACAATATTACAGATGAGATATGTGAATAACAAGAAATGCTGTGAAACATAAAACAGGTAATAAGAAGAAATTACTATCTTCTGTTCTGGTTACCTACTGCTGCTCTGACAAGAATATACCACAAATGGGATGTCCTGAACAAGCAGAAGTTATTCTCTTACAGTTCAAGGACTAGAAGTCCGAGTTCCAAGTGCCAGGCTCTGGGGGCTGTGTGAAAGCCCCTTGATCTTGGGCTTCAGCTCTGCCTCTTGCTCCCAGCCTACTGAAGCTAGAGGCATCTCTTCACTCAGGCACCTACTGGCTGCTGAGGCTAAGAAGCCCAAGGTCGACAAAGTGGCACAGTCCCGATGTTACCAAACCATATGGCAGGCCATTAAGTCAAGTCCATTGTAAGTCCCAAGGTCAGCACAGCATGGCAGGCTGCTGAACAACGACACACCTACACAAAGGATCTAAGTGTGCCATAAGCTAGAGACTGTTCCCAAAGCTGCTACTTATATATACAGGAAGCAGACCACATACCCAAAGGGAGCTACTCAGCTGTTCACAGTAGATTCCACCATGGAGTTGATTACCAGTATCATCATGGGGAATACTACATTCAGCTGCCCAGCCACTCAACCAGGCCCAGCCAAGTTGACACACAAACATAACCACCACATCTTCATACTCCAAATTTTGAAAACCTAGATGAAAAGATAAAATACTAAAAAACAGAACTCCCAAAAACTGATTCAGGAAAATCTAAATAACCATATAATCATGAAAGAAACTGAATCAGTTAAAAAATCTTCCCACAAAAAAGCACCTAGCCTACAGAGTCTGTTTATAAGTATGTTCTACTAAAGTTTAAGAAATAGGTAACACAAAATTTACTGATTCCAGAGAATAGAGAAATAGGAAACATTCTCTGTTTTATGAGGCTAACATCACACTTTGTACTAAAATCAAACAAGGATAACAAGAAAGACTATAGGCCACAGAAATAAAAGTCTTAAACAAGATATTAGCAAACCAAATCCAACATCATATTAAAAAGAGAATATGTGATAAAATTTGTTTTTATCCCAGATACAAGACTAGTACAGTATCAGAAAATCAATTAATGTAATGAACTACATTAAAGAAGAAAATCATATAATCATCTCATTGAAGGAAAAAGTTTAACCTATCACATGAAATTCCATTTCTAGGTGTTTACCTTGGAGAAACTCTTGTATATGTCCCCAGAAGATATGCATAAAAAGGTATATGCTGAAGACAATAGACAAGCACTGGAGAATACTCAAATACACATCAGCAGAAAAACGAATAAATAGATGATAAGGTATTCTTACCACTGAATGGGAGGTATACAGCAGTGAAAATGAGTGAACTACACCTACATGCATCAACATAGATCAAAAGCAGAAAGTCACACAACAGTTCATGTAGTATGACACTCATAATATAAAGCTAAAAGACAAGCAAAACTAAACAACATATAACTCAGAAATACCTACACACATAGAGGTGAAACCCAGAGAAAGACAAAGCAATGATTATCACACACTGCAGGGCAGTGGTTATCTCAGGTTGGAAGAGGGGAGCATTTGGAACTGGGGGACCACACAAGATCTTCTAAGATCCTGATGAATGATCTATTGCTTAAGCCAGGTGGTGGGTACCCAGGTGTTCATTTTATTATTGGTCTTTAAACTGCATATAAACATTTTATAACTCTTTTTTATGTACTCCACATTTCACAATAAAAATACATACAAGTAGAGGTAAGTTGATATTGGATATTTAAAGAGAAAGTGATTGAAATAATTTTTGCCAGTAGCTGCTTGCCAGGCTGACATATTTCTCAGCAGGAACTGGAATTAGAAAGCAACTCTCCTTCTGTCCATTTCCTAATAAATTATTAATGAAGCCCCGAGTTACAGAAGGAAGAAGACACAGTAT